GCGGAGGTTGGTCCAGGGGGGGGGTTGCCATATATATATATATATACTTATTTCTTTTTTGTATTTCTATATATATATATATGCATTCATGTATATTTATTTGCTTATACAGAGGCCGGGCTCCCCTTGAGAAAGTAAAGTAGCTGTCGCTGTACCATAGCTAACTAATGCTATGATTAGGAACCCTATGCAAATTCAAATCATTCAGGCCACGAAAATACAACCAAGAAATTCATGGAGGCGGAAAACGCTCGTTCCGTGGTACATCTCTTCGCCTTTAGTTGCCTTCAAACCCTACTTACTACGTAATCCGCTGAACCGTGTGGTCACCAGGCCCTCAAACGATCGGTTTTCATGTGGACAAACCCTACACCCTAAACCCTAAACCAAATGTTTTCGGGCCAGGTGGCGACTTTGCGTGCCGTCCGCCCTTCAATCACAGCCATTCGCGTGAGTATAGTCTTTCCAGCCTTCTCCTGCTACGGGGTTGTTTAGACCCTACAGGAAACCCCCTCGTCAAGGGCCTTGAGAATACAATCCGTCAAGTGGTACCCTACAAAAAGAACCCGTTATAGAACCCTGTAGTACAGAACTACAGTACCTTTTTTTTACAGGGGACCCTGTAACAGAACCCGCCTACAGTACCAGGGGGTTTTCAACTATCAGATCACCGGTCACCCTAAACCCTAAACCCTAAACCCTACTGTTCAACTATCAGATCACCCTAAACCCTAAACCCTAAACCCTACTTTTCAACTACCAGATCACCGGTCACCCTAAACCCTAACCCTAAACCCTACTGTTCAACTATCAGATCACAGGTGCTGGTTAGAGCTGAAGGCTGGGATTTCTTTGCTTGGCCGGACACCTCTGGTTTCCATCAGATTAGATCTCCGGTTTAGGGTTTAGGGTTTAGGGTTTTGCACCAGGGCTTGTGCAATCGCCTGAATGTGTTGAATACCCTAAACCCTACAACCCGAAACCCTGAGCCGAGTATCCTCATGCCGACTAAGTCATCTCGGATGCGCCAGAATCAGAACCCTAAACGCCAAACCCTAAACCCGGAGCCTAGCACCACCTTCGTGATCGAGATGGTGCAATGGTCCGCAAGAGTCGGTTAAATGATCTCATCAATTCGGATAGTTCAGGTCCGCGCCTTAGTTAAAAGCTGTGGCTTAGGGCGACCGTCAACATAACCATATGTATATCCCCAGAACCCCTTTACACAACCCTATATTTGGACTCTAAGCCCTGCACCCTACACCCCATGATTGGGAATGTCTGGGCCTCCATGACAGCCAAGCCTATGATCGGCTGCGTTCGTCCCAGGCGGACCACCCGGAACTCGGCATAAGCACTGCCTGCATGGGTGGCCCGGGTGGCCGAGGATTCCGGCTTTTTGGGTTTAGGGTTGAGTTTTTTTGAGGGCCTTTTGTTTAGGGTTTAGGGTTTCGAGGATTCAGGTTTTTTGGTTTAGGGTTTGGGTCTAGAGTTTGGGGCTTAGGGCTTACAGGGTTTAGGGTTTCTCGTCCAGGGTGCGCCCGAAAAGCGAGGGCGACTGGGAGAGGCGTCGGTTGCTCTGGATGGCGGTTTAGGGTTTAGGGTTTTGGGTTTAGGGTTTAGAGGGTTGCATTACAACTCGGCCTAGATGGAAGGGTCTGGGGCTTGTCTTGCACATTGCGGCTTCCTGTAAGAAAGTAAGTCATTCTATAAAAACTAGAGGCGAAGCAAACCTGAGTTCTGAAAACAGCACTGGTAACAGTCCTTGAACTTGAAGCCTCACAGAGCTTAAGGGGATTGTGTTGCTTCTTTCTATTTTGGCCCTGGGAGTGCCGAAAATAAGTACCTGAATCTAAAGGAGAGCCTAAACGAATGAA